CCAGAACGATGTAACAACAACATTAAGGATAAACAAAGCCAAACAAACCTAAAATAGCAAAAGTGCCCTTGCTATATCAAAAGGTGCCCATCCTATATTAAAAGGTGCCTATCTTATATTAAAAGGTGCCCATCCTATATTAAAAGGTGTCTTTGCCATAATAAAAGGTGCCCAATCTCTAATTTTAATCGTTCTAAGATGCCCATCCACAATCTAGAAGTACCCATCCACTATCTAAAGGTGCTCATGCTATAGTAAAAAGTACTCTTCCATTAATAAAAGATGCCTTTCCTTAATTAATTACTATATTCTATAGTAAATTAATATACCGGAAAAAGATATATAAACTCTGCCTCTTTCCCTAAGGCAAGAAGACAGTTGGTCCTTGTCTTTAGTAGCTTTTGACAGCTGGTCTGCAAATTCTGGTCCTTATAACACTATAATTATATATTTTATATTTGAAACAAACCCTTTATTACATCTTTGTTTTTAACTTTATATTAAGAATAAGTCCTATTTTTGATAATTTTATATAATCTTTGTTGGGAATAAGTCCCTTTTCTGTAATATTTTTATTTTTGTTATAATTTTGTATTAGGAGTAAGTCCTATTTTTAGTATTTTTATATTATTTTTGTTGGAAATAAGTTCCTTTTCTGTGATATTTATTTGGAATTATTATATTTTTTTTGAGTTATATAAATTTGTTTTATCTGTGTTATTCTTTTAAGTATTATCTGAGTTAATAAATCTATCTTTTGTCTATAAACTTTATTGGTTATAACCTTTTTTTTGTGAGTATCGCATTAGCAATAAGTCAACAATATTTCATCTTATTTATAAACTGTTTCTTCTATAAATTTATATAAACATATTTCTTAACTACTCATACACTTAGTCAAATAAGGTAACTTGTTAACCAAAGGTCTAACTTGTTATATTACACTATGTAACAAAAGTAAACAATAAAAGTAAACAATTAATTATATCAAACAATAACAACAAGCAACAACAAAGGAAAAATAACAAGTCACATGAAGCAAAAGTTAGCAGAATGTTCTGAAAAAGATCTATTACAAAAGAAGAAGAAGATTTAAAACTTAAAGCAGTATTAGAGAATATCTAAAACTTATTAGTAGCAATAGCTAATAAAATGATAAACATGATAGTAAAAGAAATAATAGCAGAATATATAGAGCAAGAACCTATTTTAAAAGAAATAGCTGAGGCACAAATAGAAAGGCTCTATAAAGAATTATAGCAATATAACAGAGAAAAACTAGAATATACAAAACTTGTACTTATAGAAAGAGAATATGAGATTTTCTACGAAATAATACAAAAAGAAAAAGATTCAATTAACTGCATTATAAAGAAAAAAATAGTTGGTTATATAGTAGAACTAAGAATAGCTAACAAAGTAAAAAGAATACTAAAAAGATAGAAAAAACAAGATGCTGAAATAAAGTCAAAACTAGTATTAGATTAGAGCAAAAAACTTCAAAAATAAATGAAAAATTGACAAAAACAGCACAACAAAACAACTCTAAAGTCTATAATATAGCAATTTAAAGAATCTATCAAGACTATTACAATAAACTAGCAAGAGATAAAAAGAAAAATTAAAAAAGAAAAGAGAAAAATACAAGTCCAACAAAAGAGAAATCAAGCTCTAAAAACATAGCCAAGAAGCAAGCCTAGCAAGAAAAAAAACAAGCTGCTGAAATAAAAATAAAATTAAATTTAGACTAGAGCAATAAACTTCAAGAACAAAGGAAAACTCACCAAAAACAGTATAACAAAATAGTACTAAAGTCTCTAATAATACAGTTTACAATCTGCTGCTGAAAGATATAAGAGAGGAAAAAGAAAAATTAGAAAGAAAAAAAGAAGAGAAGAGACAAAATATTTCAGGTCTGATAGAAGTGAAATTGCTAAACAAGATTCAAGAAGAAACAAGACCAAAAATTGTATTACTAACCCCAGTAGAATGCTTAATAGAGGTAATATATCTAGCAAGTATTTTTTTTTTTTTGGTATTATTTACAGTATAATGTACCAAACTGTACATATATTTGGAGAGTACAACTAGCCATATGTACAACTTTTGATTGCCTATAGATCTTATGCAATATAGATGATCATATATACAGTAAATTATTATAAGATTATAATATATAAAACCTATCTAATTTGAGCTAATTTATATTAAAACTCTAACCCTAACCTTAACTATTTATAAATTTACTTGATTTGATTCAAAATAGTTGATTTTTATATATTATAATTATATAATAATTATATTTGACCACCTATACTACATTTCAACCGCTAAGTTGATCAAAGAGTTTAAATAAGAGATCCACAGGTAGATTTTAGATATAGCAAGTAACAAGTAACTATAAATAGTAATATATATAGTGAAGCCCTTAAATAGGCAATAACTAAAGTTGTCATGTAACCAACTGTACTCTTGTTAATGTAACAAAGTCAGAGGTAGCCCATGTGGTTGCCCAAACATCCGAACCAAAGTTCAATAAAACTTGCCAGACTCCAAAATGATCACCTTAATATTAAAAAAAATAAAATAAAATAAAGTAATTTTAACAAGCCCAAAATTACTAAAACCAATTATAAGATTATAAATCAAATAAAACTAATAAAACTAATTATCTGTTTAATAATAAAATTGCTTAAAAATATTTGTACGTACGTACGTATAATCTATTTAATTAGTTTTGTTAATAAAAACCCAATAAAATGAGTTATACAAATATTCTTTTGGCAATTTTATTGGTCAGATAATCAGTTTTATTAGTTAAAATTTATTTGATCTGCAGCTTATAATAAAATCATACGTATAAAATAAAACAAATACCGTATATAGATTAAAAATTATAAAAATTCACGATATGAAAAATTTTTAAAAAAGTAGATACAGGAGTATCAAAAATGAATGTTTTTGCCCTAGGGGTAGTCGATCGTCTAAACACTATGGTTCCCGTATAACGGTAACCGTAAATGCAAACTCTCAAAGATACAAATTCTGACATGGAATAACAAACGGAAATGTGTAAAACTTACAATTTATTTGCATTAAAATATGTATGTATATGATATGTAAATAGAGATTATGAACATACAGAGTATATAGTAGGAAAAAAAATTTATTTTAATGGCTCACCAAACAATAGTGAAAATACATTCGTGTATAAAATAATTTGTATAAAGCAAAATTTTCAAAAATAGGTTTTAAGTACTAAAAGACTAATAATAACTAAGTTAATAACTACTAAATGGAATAAATTTTGTTACATTAGAGCTTATTATTTTTCGCAAGGTTGTTTTTGACAATTTGACAATTTGACAAAACAAAAGAAAAAAAATTATTAGTGCAAAAATATCAATCATTAATTCGGTAGTTGTTATGGAGGGTACTTTCTCCAATCACGTGGGGCGCGCTTCAAACCAGAAGCACCACAACCACGTACAGCCTTTACGGATTTCGACCAACGCTTCTCTTCGAAGCGACGGAGGAGCTCCGAGATGACCATATCGTCAACAAATACCATTTGATTGTTGCTGAATAGCAGAAAATTCTTCTGCTGACCAGTCGTAGTCCAGAAAACTATCGAGAAGGTCAACAAGAGTTGCTTCAGCATTTGTGGGGGGCACATCCAAATCGTAGGGGTTATCGACGACATCCCGTAAAGGTTCCTCGTCTTGACGGGCCGCTGCTGGGACTTCTCGGACGATTCTCTTGGAAAGGAAATATTATTTAAGGAGGAAGGTAGGAGTAGAAAATCATCAGGACTACCATTATTATTAATAGGATCCTCTTTAATATTAGAAAAATCCAGAGATTCTTTTTCCGAGGCCGCGGATACTGCAGATCCGCGAACACCATCAAGGAGGACTTTATTCATCTCGGATACGGCTAGATGAGATTGAATTTCAGCGAGTTGAGCCGAAATTGAATCAAGTTTTGCAGACAAATTTGCATTTTCCTCTTCAACAACTTTTAAACGCTTAGATAGATGAGCATTTTCTTCTTTAAGAATAGTATTTTGAGATTCCAAATCAGCCATTTGTCTACGTTTTTTGTCTCGAGACATTTGAGCAGCATGACGATTTCGAAGAATTCTAAAATTGGAAAAATTTTTAGAGATAAATTAATTTAGACGCGTAAAATGAACAAAATAAAGAATAAGAATGAAAAATATAGAAAAAAATACATAAATATAAATAGTAAAAAAAATAAAAAATAAAAAAAAAAATAAAAAAAATACCTTTCACGTTGTCTCTGCTCTTTTTCTTCAAGACTTTCAGCTTTTCTCTTACGACCACCAGCTGACTTCTTTTTTTCTTCAGTTGATACTGTATTAGTTGAAGATTGTCGTTCAGAAGGATCAGCTTCAGAAGTAGGAGAGGAAGATATGGCGGAAATAGGACTAAATAGGGCAGGAGCGATCGGCTTCATTGACGTTATTGAAGGGGCCAAATTTGGTAGAGTTGTGGAGTTATTTGACGTTCTGGTGAACATGCAATCGTTGCTTGCCGCGAGTTTTCGCAACTCCTCTATGTTAATGAAATCTTGTAACGTGAAAATACCAGTTTGCGGTATACGACCCTCCTCATCATCTGCCTCTAAAGTATCCCTTAAATCAGGGGAAGTAACAGTAGAAGATAAAGTAGGAGTATAAAGAAGAGGAGAATTTTCTAAAAGTTGTGAAATACTCGTTTCTGTTCTTAAGTCTGAGGTCACCATGTCCTCACTCCAAGTATTAGGAACATGGTTTGCAGAACATTTATAGTCGTTTGATGACGACGTAGATGTAGTAGAGGACATGGTGACCTATGAAAGGGTTTCCGACTTATGAATACAGTATGGTTCCAGTTCTAAAAATTCTAAAATATATACAAGAAAAAAATTGATATCTGATATTATTATTATTAATTAATGGATAATGAGAAATTTTTGAGGAAAGAAAGTTGAAAAAAATGCACCTGGGTAGGGCGAAAGCTTGTGGCTTTTATCTTGAACGAATGAAAGCACTATATGAGAATAGACAAATTTGGGGAATAATTTAGGAAACCTCCTGAAACTGTAATGTGTTGAATTTTCATTGGTGGATCTTGATAATCGAAACATAATGAAAAAAGAGGGAAATGTGGAGAATTACCATTGGACAGTTATGTTTGTTTGTGACTGCGGAACAGTAATAAAGTTTAATAAACAAAAATGAGGATAGTTATGATTGGACACATTTGATTTAGATCTTGTATTACCGTTAGGTACTTAGGCATGTACAATACTTAGACTTCGCCATTGACTTGTGTTATCCTTCCGTGAGGCTTAGGATCATTCCACAGCCAGGATTTTTCGAATAAGCCCATCTATCTATGATATATACGAAATTCATATAAATCATCGAATATTGTTCTCCTCCCAAAAGTTTATTTGCGGCGTTTATTGCATAGCCCATAACTTTCTATCTTTGCTTAATTCTAATAATTGGCATATTAATATTTGGAAGCCTTAATAGAAAAAATATCATCACAAATATTAAGTAAGTCGGTACGAATTTCCTATTATGCGCATCGTCTTGTTGCGCCGCGTATCAAACGTATTATGTTTCATGTTACTACTACGTAATGGTAAGGGAATTTAGAGTTTACCATTATTTTGGTATTCATTCTGACAAATAAAGATGGTCTTAAACTAAATGAGAACACGATCACTAACGATTCCGGATTTTAACAACTCATTGTCTATAAAAACTTGCAAATCCGAGAAAAAAAAAAATCAAGACTTTATACCAAATCAGTGCCGAATTTGCCTAATTATGTCAAAGCTTCGTCCAAAATGCAAATTTCAGTGTGATCTATCGCTATACAAAAAAGTCTTGGCATAGATAGTTGAATCAGGTAATTGAATTTCCTTTCCTTTTTAGGAATATTCTTAAAATTTATTTCTAATGATCAAAATTCGTCTGTTTCAATAATGATAATATTTACGTTGTCCTACAAAGTAGGTCTCATTCTTAGTACTCTTAATTTATTTGAAGGTTGATCGTTTGTGCGGCTATTCAAGTAGCGTCATGTGTTTTAGAACTTAAAATGGCGAATTGAAGGAAGCATATTCGCTATAATTATAGCAATTTTCGTCAATTGTTGTTTAAACAAATGCTATTTCGTCCTGAGAGACGTGTCGGATATCGTAGGGCACGAGGCAAACAAAATCCCAAGTCTAAATAGATACAATATAAGCAATCAGAATGGACAATAAACCGTGATATAGTTATTTCCCAACTAAACTATCGAGTACGTAAATGCTAATCCTAATCATCACAGCGAATTCAAATCCGACCAATTACATAATATAAATCAATGCTAAATTCCGAAAAAGTTTTTGGAACCTCTGATTTAGATTGATAACGCGTCTACGTTTTCCCCATCTTCCCATTTGGTGCATCTTATTAGACATAGAAATTTATTATAATGAAGCGCCCTCACCAGGGAAAAGTGTTCCACAAAAGTCCAGGTCCGCCCGCCCGGAGTAGATTAGAGGGTCCACCAAAATTCAGCAAATCGGCCCGAATTTGGGTCGGAATAGGCCGGAATTAATAATTTTTTCTAAAACCACCACAAATTTTACTAATAAAGTGCAGCCTATGCACTAAGTAAAGCTGCCCAAATGATAACTTTGCTATAATATAGTCGGCCGGTATTATTACTTAGTGCCACTTTGCTCCGGCCTATTCCGACCCAAAATTCGGGCCGATTTGTTGAATTTTGGTGGACCCTCTAATCTACTCGCCCGCCCGGATCCGCGGGCATGGTTCGGACCCATAATTGAGCGATACGGAGATACGGATCATTGAGATCCGTTCGAAGTATAAGCTAGCTTTTCTGATTGGTCAAAATGTTCGGAAGTACCGGTCCGTATCCGAGTTTTGGATCCGATTCGTTCTTCGGACCGGATCCGGATCTTTAAAAACTGTTAGCGTTAGCATTTGGACTATGTCCAATAAAAATTTCATCTGGACATGGACATATGGATACGTACAAATTTTATATGTCCAAATTTGTCCAAATAAAATTTTATATGTCCAAATTCGCCTAATTGCCAACACTGTTTAAAAATATCTTCCAGTCCGATTCATGTGTAACATTAGTAGTTATTTCAGTCAAAAATCATTGTTTTATTAGTGGTCAAATTTTCAATTTTTTTTGGGGAGGTATTTCATAAATTCGCCGCGATGTTTTTCGATCATCACGTACCCAGTTTTTTTTTTTTTTTGCTGGCTACGCTGATTAAGACCCTTTCGAACTAAGATCATGTTCACTTAACTCTATTTTTTTTTGATCTTTCATAGGTACAGACTTATTTATGTCACAAGTTATGGCTTAATTGCGCTCTATTTATAAACCGGTTTTATGTATCTTTTTATCTATATCTTGTACCATAATAGCAGTGCCCTTGGCAGCGTTGTTCGTTGGTAATTGTCACATTCTTTATTGCATCGTTTATCACGTCGCATAATAAAAATTATTACACGGCTCCTAATTGTTCATCCATGACTTTTTAACTGATATTTTCACGGTTGATCTTTTCACGGCTGATATTTTCACAGCGAACTTTCTTTTATTTGTCGTTTTTTTAGATTGTATGGTTGTTCGTAAATTATCTTTAAAGAATATAAGAAAGGAATTTTAGAAGAAAGAAATTTTATTTTGCATGAAGAAAAGCCGTGAAAGTCTTTGGAAAATAATAGTTATAAAGTCTTGGGTGTTAGGATCCGTATTAAATCAATTATTACACGTATTTGTCGTCGACATCATGAAACATCCCGAATCAGTCTCGATATCATGCATCAGTGTGGCTACTGCATAATATCGAGACTGATCCGTGATGGTTTAATGATATCTATGATAAAACGTGTAATAACTATTACATACCATATAATAAAAATTACCAATGAACAAACGGTTTAACAACACTGCCCTATAATAAACATTACGGAAATTCTAAAATACGCAGTTGTGATGATGGTGAATTCTGAAATTAACAAACCTGATTATTAGAAGTTAGTAACTACAGTATATATCGTCACTATGCATTACTACATATATATTAAGACATATGAAAACCAATACATATTACTGTATTAGATGATTTAGTTGTTTGTTTAGATCGATTTCTAGAAACAATAAATTCTTAAAATTTTCCGGATATTATTGAAACTATTATAAACAAAGCAACTGTCAACGCCATATCATGGAAGCCCCATTGCTTGAGTAGGCGATGCTATAATTAGAACATCGTCAAAAAATATTTTATCCGTATGTTATAAACTCATTTAATATAAGTTTAAAAATCTTTCTAATAGTGCCGTTTAGCTTAATCTCCTATTGCGAATAACTAATAACTTATATTTTGTATAAATTTAATGTTATAGAAATTAAATTCTGAAATCATCAGTGAAGTGCACAAATGAGGTTTATATTAAGTAATAATGATTTTATTTTCTGATTCAAATATTTATATAATTACATATATTTGATGTTATAACAAAAGTTATTATGTTACATAAGCAAAACTTGTTATGATTTATATAGTAGAGGCATGATAAGTAGGGCATGCCTCGGGCTAAGGCATGCCCCCTGGGGCATGCCCAAAAATTTTACCGTGCCTCCCACCCTAATGCTGATGAATTATACATATATATACTGTATATATAAGATTTAAAAAGATTTAAAAGTGTATTACAAATAAACATTAAAATAAATTTAGTCAATTTTGTTTTATTAAACTAATTATTAAATTTTAAAATAAATATTTTTGTTAAAAATTATTGTAGATATTTTCTAAGTTATTAAAACTGAACTACCAGTAAACAATAAGTGTGCTTCTATCCATTAAATAATACAAATCGCATATTTGATGTGCTACAAAATAAAATTTGCAAATATTATACCAGATAATAATTCAAACACCCTAGTCTGAATATCGTATGCGACGTTTAGACATATTTAGACCATAAACATCTAATTTAAATCAATCATCTCTACCCGTGATTTTGCAGAAAACTATTTTACAATTTCTGTTGCACTTTAAAAATTTATTTAATATGAATTGAGTTAGCATATACCGATACAGTATATGAAAACTAATACGTACGTATTTATTTAGGGGTTTGCAACCCAGGCACGTGCCTGTGCCCAACAAAAGGTCTGGGCATGGGCATGGGCATAGGCACGAAACCTCAGGCATG